TGTGAAAAGAGAGAACAGATTCATGCTAATACGTTGAACAAATGTGTGAGGCTGATGCAACTAAACTTCTGCATAACGGAAACGTTTACTGTCTCCTGATGTAAGTTTTAAGCATAATCTGTTGGGAAGCTACAGCTGAAACCGCTTTAATCAATAAGTAGTCACTAAATTTTTTCACCAATCAGTCGGTCGGTCAGTCATCCAGTTATTCATGATCATACATCTAGTTCGTCAGTCATTCATGATTAGTTATTCATGATCAGTCACTCACTCCATTTAGTCATTTAGTCACTCAATGACTCTGTCATTCTATTGCGTCTTTCAGTCATTCAGATATTCGTTTATTTATTCAGTCAGTCTTTCAGTCAGTCAGTTGGTCATTCATTTAGCGCTTTTCGATTGAGTGTCTCAAAACCAAACCAAAGTGATCAGAAAAATTAAAATACTTTTAAGAGCCAATGAGAACTAAAAATAAAACTCGCGGGAAAACGGGAAAGACCAGTTGGTGATTGGTGTTAGTTTTGCATCTGATTGGCTAAAAAAGTGGCGCGTGTTTTCAGGACCAATCACAGAGTGACTCAAGTAAAGCAAAAGCAAAGCAATCCCGGATCGAATTTCTCGACTTTCGATTGAAAACCCCTCTACCATTAATCAATCATTTAATCAGCCATAAATTTAATTAATTAATCCCTGAGACAATCATAATGTCTCACAGTCAGTGCCGGATTACATTTACCCCAGTAATAATGATTAATTCATTAGTTCTCCGTCTTCATTCCTCTCTAAATGTTATTCAGTAGTTTTCGGTGGTCCATCTACTTTTCTACTTCAGTTCAAGGTACCGCTGGTTTGGCTTTCAAATGAATCCTTAAATGACTAGGAGCATTTTACGGTTCTTCAAAAGCATTCTCAATCATTTCGATAGTACTGTTTTCGACATGTTTGTCTCAAGCTAGTGTAAAAGAAGTCCTCTTCTTCTCAAAAATGTCCGTAATGTTTTACCTCTAGATTTTGACAGAAATAAACGTTGTAACACTTTACGAATTCTGCTCACATCAAGGTGACAAAAGCCCCGCTAATATAACTTAATATAACCCGAAAATATTCTACGAAATATTGATCGTTAAAAAAAGTCAGTTTATCGTTGCTCAAGAACCAGAAACTACTTTTCAAAAACAAGCCTAATACCAAGAACATTTAGCTCGAGAACTCCTTTCAGCACAAACGGCTTACTTTACAATGGTGGACACAAGTTTCTTTACAAGACTGATATGCAGCAAATTCGAGCGAATCTAAATAAGATTTATGCCTATAAGAAAAACGATTTTTGCGCAATTTCATGTTGTAGAATCGAGGAGCACGTCACACATGGTATGGCAAATCATTGAACACTTTCAAGAATCTGTAGTGGCTTATAACAATGACTCACCTTGTACACAAACGGACAAGCAAACTGGAACTTCACGAGCTGTAGCTTGTGAAAATGTAAGACTCGTGGGAGACGATCTCTCCTTTTTAAATTATTCTACGGAGTGAGGATATCCGTTTTTAACAATGACTTGGACGGTAAATGTCCAACAACTGTCGCGATGTAATAACAACAGCAATTGATAATTCATGTAATTTAGGGCCATTCGGTAAAAGCAATTGCGAATTTAGGAAAACTATATTTACTCAACAATCTAAATATTGTCCTAAATCTTGTACGTGCTAAAATGAAAAAAAAAAATTCATAACCGATTTATAAAAGAAATCGCCGACTTTCAAGTGGAACGTCTTACAATGAATCTATTTCGAATTAGGTGAACGAATCAGCCAGTTTTTCCTTCAGTCAGATTAGAATTCAGAGCCATTCTTTGGGTCAATTTGGTTGAAAAAGTTACTAAGCCTCTGATCTAAATTGAAACTTTTGTACCTATTGAGCAATGTAAAGCAATACACCTTGAAGGAAGTTCTCGTCTGTTTGCAATCAATATTGGTAACCGTACCTTTGACAGAGTTAGAATCGACTTCAGTGAAGTTTTTTTCATACATTAGATTCCAACCATACAGTTTATGTTTGGGGCATAAGTATGTTTTGGGCCCGACTGAGAGTCATTTGAGCCCTAACTGCTAGAGTTAAAATTATTCTGAGAAGGGCTCAGAGTACTTATGCCCAAGAACATAAACGGTATTTCTATTTCTATCACTTTTGAGGGCATTTAAAGAATGAAAACTGAAAAAAAGTCAACAAAGCAGTCTTAACAATAATATGAGCGTGCGAGCTGGCTAAAATATATTTTATTGCCCTACAAAATAGTAATAACGGTGGATTCGATTATCGGGAAATCTTAATGACAAAAGAAAGCTTACGAAAAAAATATAATTCTATAGCCTAGAAGAAGGCCTTTGATGATAAAGAACACCTTGAATTGCCGCAATGAATGAAATTTTTATCAATGAGTCACAAAGGAAAGACATTTTGCAATATTTCCAGAATTTGAACAAAGGAAAAAGCTTATTGAAAGGTTCGAAGAAAGCTTCCTTCACCAATTTAAATATGATAACTACACAGTGTGTATCTGGTCTGTTTTTAATCAGCGCCACTTTTAGGTTGCATGTCTGGATTAGTCTTAAGTCGTAATTTATTTTTTTGTTTCACGTTCCTTTCATTGCGTGGCATTTTCTGGCGAGATATTCCGTTTTACTCGCCTTTGTCCCTTGAGAGGAACGATAAACATAGGAAATTATAAATTTCCTAAATTTTAAATTAGTACTTCTCTAGTTATTTTCATAGGAACGATGACTCAAAACGTATGGCATGAGTGTATTGCACGATTTCAATTAGGAACCTCGTCTGTTTTGGTAATGAAAAAGTGCATAATTGAAAACTGGGAAGATCGCTTTTGCTTTTCTACAGATAGATTTTGCGCTTACTTAAAGATAATTTTTTCTGTAGCTGAACAACATTATATGATTCCGAGATTACCCTCAAAGAAAATTAAAATCATCTTGTTTGCCAAATTACCGGATTATTATTTCGCTTATTACAAATAACTTCTCTAATTTTTTGGAAGCTTTCCGTATTGTTATTTACTTAGGCAGGATAGAACGTGACAATCCCAAGTGCTAAAGAATAATTGGCCATGTCACGGATGGAGATATTTGCCAGAAGATGAATGTGGCACTTCATGAACAAGCGTGGCAAGGTTGGTAAAGATAAGTCTTATACCTGATACCTTGCCGTGGTTTGATTTCAGCGTCACCTGTATGAGAAACACAAACAAACAAAAACAAAAACAAACAACAAATATGAAAATAAATGTGAAGACAAAAAAAAAACATAAACTAAATCATTGAACGAAAAAGTGTGCAACAGACAAACACAAGCATAGAAAAAAGTACAGGCCAGAAAACTCGGCAAGAAAAATTGATACATGCAGATGCACGTTTGTTTTGTTTTGCTTATGATGTCATATAGAAGAATGGTGGTGACATGAAACATTTCCAACCTGTTCCATTTTCTATACATCAGTCAACCATAACCCTTAGCCAAAGTCGCCCTATACTAGAGCTAAGATGGAGGACTAGGTAAATCGCAAAAATAATTATTAATCAAACAAATATACCCCCCCCCCCCCTACCCCTCACTAAAGAACAAGAACTTACGAGCAGAATCCGGACACAAGCGGCTCGAGTTGTGGCTGTGAGATGATCGTCTTGCGAAATAAGAGTTATGGCAAAATTATAAGAGTTTGTATGGGAGTATTTACGACCGCTTTTAGGAATAAAAGAGTACAGTCAAATTCTCACTAAAAAATACCTCACCTTACTTCCACAGTGCATCGCTTGTTATTTGACCGCTTAATATTACTATTTTTATTGAAAATTTGATTTGATTTTTTAATATCTAAGAGCGATCGTAAATATTCTCATACAAACTCCTATGATGTCGCTATGACTCTCATTTGGCAAGATGATCATCTCACAGCTGGAACTTGAGCCGCCTGTGTCCTAGGTACGTCACCTGTAAAGTATAAAACATTATATGTAAGTAAAGTATACGACATAATACATATTGGGGATAATAATTCCCCATACATGACATACTTACTGCCTTTGTTCCGAATGGCTCCTCTGCTGGGTGAAAGGATCGCGGGCTCTAGAAAGAAGAGACCTGGGTTCCAAATGACTTGGGCGTAAATCTGGTATGGCGATGTTGGCTTAAACTGAAAATGAGAAACAATCAGCATAATTTGCCAGCCATAATTCCCTGAAGTTTGCGAAGGACTCTCCAAGGAACAAGGTACAGGGCACATTCTTTTGTAATTCTTTAATAAAAAGGGTCCGTAAATGTTGATCAAATCTGGTTCGAACCTCGAACTCGTGATCTTTTCCATTCCATTCCATCTCGATCGTTCAGCAAGCTCATATCAATTCGAAAAGTATTTAAATATTTTTCAGTGTTCTGTTTTAAGACCATTTCAACGCCATGGTGTGCCGTTTGAACTTGGAAGTGGTTGGTAAAGTCTTGTGCTTTATTTTGCTAATATTGCAAGGGGCCATTCTGGATTATTACCTCTACGAACATCATGAATACAAATCACTTGGATTTATAGCGACTGATGTTGTAGTTCTCGCCATCTGGATAGGCGTGATGTTCATGGCCAAACGAAAGTTGCTCACCGAAAAATGGAGAAAGGTTCGACGAGGAAAAGAAAAAACTGACGGGAAACATCGGCCTGTTGAAGTGAAGAATGATGGTGCGGACGAAATCGCCTTTGTCTTCATCGCGTGGCTGGCATATGTTGCCATCACTCTTGTTCCTGAGATAGCTGTGATTTTTAAAAGATTTGCTGATCAGCTCGGAGATGCCAGAGTGTTCGGGCAAAACTTTCTTAAAGTTGCACTTTGCATCACTCCTATGTTGTTTCTGTTGCTGGTTAATTCACTGCACGACGCCAAGCGCTACTCAAAAAGAAGAATCTACATTGACAAACTGTCAGCTGGAGTTACGCTGGATCTTCTAGACAGCATTGATATTTTGGAGATTTTGTTTATAGATGATGTAGAACTAAAACTTCCAGTTGCATTGGAAAATGCCATAATTGCATTTGCATGCATCAACTTTTTCTTGCCTACTTTAGCACTGCTTGAATTGAGTGCAATTGTAAAAGGTGAGGTTCGTTCTGCAACTTTTCAGATCTTGTACTCGATATCCTATATTTTTCTGGTAAATGTGCCCTTGGGGGTCATCAGGATTATCCTATGGACCAAATTTAACCAAGACGTGTCAGTGTTTATTGGAAAGAATATCATTGCATCAGCCATCTACATATTTGATATCTACGCAACCTGTGGGCCAGAGGAACCATTACGGTGCCCTAGGTGTGGAAAATGTTATACAGCAGATTCAGTTGATGGCCACAAAGCTCTATGTTCTTGTACTGAACTTGGTGGGGATGAAACTAGTACACCAATGACATCTCCCTTGGCAGATACGTTTCCTCCAGTTTAAAGAGGGACAGGAAACAAGTATAATTTACGAATATGTAAAGGACAAGCCTCAATTGAGGCTAACTAAGTAATCAAAAATCTGTGCATGTGTGAATGTTGTCATGATTAGATGGTGTGCTTTCAAGTTGTCAGAACCAAGTTGTATTACATGAGGTACAAACAATCATACATCTCAGGAAGTTTGGGATTTCTCTGTACCAAATAGGTTTATTTACAACTCTCAAAACAACATTATTTTGTTTTAAGAGTTGTGAAAAAAATTATTTGGTAAATGAACAATACACTGATTGTTTAAATAAGCTCTTTGTTTTAAAAGTCTTAAGTTTTTCTTTTTCCTACTTTTGTCTTGTTCTGTAGATCTCTTTGAAGGTTTCGATTTTTTCAGATATTTTGTTGGACAACTCAGTTGTTTTTTTTTGTTTGGAATTTTTCTCCTTGTGCATGCTTTATGTTTAACTGTTGTAGTTAAAAGGGTGAGGTATGGGATGTTTTTAACCTCTAAGAGTGATAAGTATCTAATTTCAGACTATAACGTCACCATAAATCCAACAAAAATAATGAAAATACAGGAAATGATCCCAAACTCAAGACGCTCTTGACTGTTATACAAATTCTCTTTGCATTTACCATAGAAAAATTATAGAGAACAGTAAGAAGAGTATGCATTCTGATGTTAAGATGTAAAAGGTTGAGAAAGAAACTTTTGATGGTTGCATTGATTTTGGTTTACCTTGGTCAGTGTTTGGTCAAGAAAATTTGCACCACACTCTACTGAAGCCAGTCATATATCAAAACTGAAAACATTTTTGCATGGTCACCCAAGTTTTCTTTGCCTTAACTCTGTGGCTTTCTTCAACCTCCTATTGGTTCCTTGTGTTTTGACCCTTTCTTCTTTTTGGCTGTTGTGATGTTTACTGAATACAGGCTTATTTGTAGTATAATAAACCCTTTAACTCCCAGATCAAATTTGTAATTCTCATTAATGTCAACCATACAATTCTTAGAATGTTAGTTCAGATAATTTAGTATTGAATCAACTTATTATGCCCAAACTGATATTTTTCTTCATTCTCAGCACTTATCTGGTTGATATTGTATTGACATTGTGAGGAGAAATTCTGTCTTGGTCACTTGTTGGAGTTACAGGGTTAATACACAATAGCTGAATTTTGCTTATAAAGCTAAGGGAATCCTTTTTTTTTTTTAAGGCCATGGGCATGAACCAGTATTTTTTTTCTTTCAACAGTATTTGATAACATATATGGGTTTTTAATTTAATAAGGTGTGGACCTTCAATTATTTTGTTTTCAGAACACAAAGATGAAGATCCTGCTACTTATTACAGATTTTTTTATTTTTTTAGGCTGGTCATTATCTTGAGAATTTAATGTACAATTAGTGATTAAATTTTTGATGCTATTGCTGTTGTTTAGATCTAAGTTGATCCACCAAATAGAAAACCTGTTATCTTCAGAATCATTACTTGAGATTCAACCTCCCCCCCTCACCTCTCCTGTAAAATATTACACTTAATGTGGTACTATTTGCACTGATGTTAATGCTGTTAGGGTTATGTTGTGTCCAAGTCATAAGATTCTATTTACAAATTATGGCCCCATAGGAAACACTTTAGTACAATGTGCCAGTAAATTTGATAGTGGTTGTGCTGATTTGAAAACTGACTGGTTAAAGCTTGGCATGAAGAGTATGTATTATTTTGTGTGTTGTTTTGTTTTGTTTGTTTTTTTAGATAAAAACAATGTTCTATTTCTAATTCAGGAAACCATGAACATCTGAAGTGCATCTTGAATATTTGCTGTACAAGTATTGCTGCAACAGTTAAGATTAACCCCTGATTGGCATGATTTCCTTGAGACAATCTTGTTTTAGTAACATTTCTGGTGTTTCACAAATATTTTCAGAGTTTAAGCTTTGTATTCCAGCACCATACATGTATACCTTGAGGGCTAACTATAGCTCATCTTTATTTTTAGCTATAAGAATCACAGGGGACTTCGGCTCTATCAGGTAACTTTATAGTTCACTAATCATTGTTGTAGTTGTTTTCATTTTCACATGCTGATGTGTGACATATTTTTACAAGGGAGGAAAACAAGTGCATGTTTGTGTGTAGGTGTCACTATAGACATTCTTACAGATATAGTGCAACTTCCATGTGAGCAAGTTCCCTTTCGGAGTATTTTCAAGAGTTTTGTGTGAAGTATATGATATTTACCTGCCTTGCATTATTTATTGGCTTATTAAGACTAAATTAAGTATATGAAAAGTTATCTTTGTTTTGTTAATTTGAAAGTTTGCATGGTTGCCATAGGTCTGAAAAAAGTGTGGGAATTTCAGTTTTAAGTCAGGGAAAATTAACATTTTTGAAAGAAGTCAGGGAAAGAGAATTTTAAAATAAATTCATTTGGTCTTGGGTTAATTCTTCTCATTTACCTTGTTTAGAGACGGATTCCAGCCCAGCATAATCCATTTGATGGTAAGCAAACATTTGTTTTGCTTCTAGTTTCATTGTTTTTAAATTAAAAGTGTTAATTGTGTCAATGTACAAATTGAGTTGGGTTTCTAGGAAATTTTTAAAAATCCTTTTTACATGGTCTTACATGTTATGTGCATTGTATACGTCTTGCTGAGAGTGCAAATTTATTGTTTGAAAGCAAGGCTGTGAGAGGAGGTTGGAAGTCATACTCGGGACTCGTTTATGTCATTTCTAACCCAGTTGGTCAGGAATAGTCAGGGAATTTAAAAGACTTATGACTGTAGCAACCATGATTTGGACCCATCCCCCCTTGTCAAATAGTCCTGCACGCATCGCTGGCACTCACCATTTCATGCATTCTCCGCTGTGCAATCGCTAGAAGTCTCCAGCGTCTACCCAACCCTTAACTGTTGATTCGGATTCCTCTGCTTTGTTTTTTGTTACGCTTTTATGGAAAGAAAACGAAGCAAGGTGAGTTACCATAGAAACGAAAGCTATATCAGCCAGGAATTAGACCTCTTCACCTTTATATGATTTTCGTAAGCATGATTTGGTTTTGATTTGAACTTTTATAATTAGATATGATTGGACAGATATTCTAAGAGAACAACTTTTTTCTTTTAAAGTCACCCTATCAATTTGAAACCTTCTCGGCTTCCGATAATTTTGTTCAATAATTTTGTTCGATAATTGTCGCTTATTTCATTCATAAATTTTTGGTTAAATTGCAGGTAATGAAATCCTATGAATATAACATTCATCGATTCAGAGACTGAGAATGTTGACATCAAGCTCGAACGACAAACTCTGCACTGCTCCACGATCACTAAAGATTGTCAGGTATCTATCTGAAATTTTTAATTTCATAAGGTATCACAAAGCCCTTCAAACTTAAATTATTCCCAGTTTTTTTCATGACTTACAAAGATGGGTAAGAATTGTCTTTGAACTAGTTAAAAACTCAAACTTACAGTTCTTCTAACCTGAGACGAAAACCTGCAAGTTTTTGCCTTGACTCGCATACATGAACAAATATTGTCTCTGAATGCACTCAAAACTCAGACTGACAGTTCCTCTAACCTGCGATGAATGTTCACTTGTAAATCTGAGAATTTCAATTCGAAAAAGAAAAATTTTGAATTGTACCAAGCTATTTGGAAGGAAAATTTTACTCAAAGAGGAAGACTTTTCTTTGAAACAAGAAAAGCAAGCAAGATAACTGACAAAATTTTAATTTTAAATGGGAAGGAAATGTGAGAGAATTACCTGAAATTAATTGTTCGATGGCGACTTAACACGTTGACATCAATTATTTTTATTCGGGGAAGTATACCAAAGTATGCTCAAAGTTGGGACAAAGGAAGGCAAATCAAATTTATAGGTGTTTCGTTACCATTATAATGATCGAGATTGCGTGACAAAACGCTCGTGCAACACGGGATTAACCTTATATGGCAAGTGTAGTCCACTGTAACGTCAAGTTGTCATGACAACGAACACTTATCTTAGAATCCGGTTGCGTTTTGAACGAATCGGGCGTGGAGATTTTCATCGCAGATTTGCGTGAAATTATTCAAAGTAGCAAAGAGTATTCATCAAAAATGGCTTCAATCCGAGAAGGTAAATATGATTTAGTTCTATTTTGTCTTATTTTATTTCTTGATTCATTTTTGTGCAGAAAGAAATCTTTCCATTCTCGATCGTTATTCAGTGGAGTTTTATTTTCTCATCGAATGCTCGTTTTGTTTTTTTTTCATAGGAGAGATCAAACAAGCTAGTCAAGAAAAGGTAAATTTAACATTTGCACAATTTGTATCTAGTTTAATACGATTGTTCAACTCTTTCTCTCTGTTTGTTTTTCCGCAGGACTTAACTGAGAACCAGGTCAGTAAGAGCTTTACATTTTTAGCTTTGAAGGACGCAGAGGTCCGCAAATAGGTCATGATTTGTAACACCGTGTTAAAAGTAAAGAGGGAATTTATGTTTTGCTGCATTCTCAGTCCGCAGAATGTAAAGCGATAGCCCCTGAGCAAAGCGCTGCTGAGAGTGGAGAGGAAGGAAGGTAAAAGGAACTTAACCTCTAAAAGTTCTCATGTCACCAACACTATTTCCGGTGATGAACGCCAATGTCCGGTCAGCGGTTACCAGACAGAGATTATTGCGTCATCGCTCTACTCTCTCAAAGAGTAAAAGTTGAGGATTTTGAGAAAAAGTTTGTGAAACTTTTATGCTGAAGCAAAGCTTTCTCGCTCTTCCTTTTCTCTAAAAATAATTTCAGATTTTTTTCTGACTATTTATTTCTTTCCTTTTGTATTTGACGAAATCTTGTAGCGGGCCTTCGTGGAAGGACAAGCAGAAGATCAAGGTTGGTTTTTGCTACACCAAAGGGGTGTAGGCCGAGATACCTCGTTGATACTTCGATTAAAATCAAAAGAGTCTCCGGTCTAACTCACTTTCAGAGAAGGATATATATGTTGTTTGTATTTTATCATCGACAGGAAATCGTTATTTAAATGTATCCAGTCTGTGAAATATCTTTTAAAAGGATAAAACCTCCAT